CTCTCTATTGGGCTGATTTCTACTCTTTCCAGCCGCCTCCCAAAGCCCTACCCTACTATAATAGGTGACAGCGAGTTCCACTCTGCGATAGTTCTAGGAAAGAACGAATTCTTGAACACCTCGATCCTTGGTTAACTCTGGTACTTGAAGGCATGGTTATTTCTTGTTCTCTTCTGGGCTGGTATTAGGTACTTAGTAGCAGGTACGTCCACCAGTTTATTAGTAATTTTGTGGCCTCTACCAGGCTTCGGGAGGCAGCTGAAAAGAGTAGAAATCGGCCAAATAGAGAGACAACATGCCAAGGGAGTCTGTTCGGGAGCAGTGAACTGTTCTCTCAACGGACAAACTCCCTTGGCATGTTATCTCTCTATTTGGCTGATTTCTACTCTTTCCAGCCGCCTCCCAAAGCCTGGTAGAGGCTAGTAATTTTGTACATCATCAGATTCTGTGCTTGTGAACGAATCTGAATAAAAAATTTAATGTTTTCCCCAGACCATGTCGGCTGCAAAAACTACACATACAGCACTTATAAAGTTACAAGTTTTCCATCCCTAAGGCCACACCAATTTAATTTCTTGGTAAACGGATTTTTCTAGAAAAATAATGGTGCGGGGTGGGGGGGTGGGGTGGAAAAAAAAACAGGCCTAGACCGAGGCTAGTCATTATGTACATCATCAGATTCTGTGTGTGTGAACGAATCTAAAGCAAAAATTTAATATTTTCCCCAGACCATGTCGGCAGCGAAGGTCGTCCAGCCGTCTCCGGATTTCCGCGGACTCCGACCTCTGTCCCGAGGCATGACCTTCTCTCCGCGCCCCCTCAACACGACCTTGTCTCGCCTGAGTTCCCGAGCGTCGCTACCTCGGCAGACTGCCACCCTGGAACCCGGCAGGCTGTCCATCTCATCCAGTAAGGACTTTTAATGTTGTGTTACTTACTTGAAGTGGTTATATCATGTCAGTGTGGCCTAAGCAAGAGATCGGAGAACTCATGCCTCTGTAAGAGGAGAACCCTGCAAGGCTACTAAAATCACATGAAGGCCACATGCAATGGACCTAAATTGCTTTTCAGGAGTCAGAAACATCTGATATTTGCAGCAGGGCCTGCATGGGGGGTAGTGATTACGAATTCCGCAAAGTTTTTGCTGCCGATCACGAATTACGTTAAATTCTCAGAGCTGATTATGACTAAAATATAATGTTCTATAAGAACGAATTACATTGATTTTGGGAAGGCTGTCTGCAGATAACGAAGACTAAAAAGGCCTGATTACGCCTTATGAAAAAGGGCATGCAGAGCCCCGATGTAGTAGTAACAAGAGACTGTAACTCAATTTTGTGCCCATTGAACTGCTCCTGTCAAGCTTGTCCAGCAATTGTTATTAAAAAGCAGCTGGTTTTACATTCTATATTGTGTGGGACAAAAGGTACCAACCTCTACAGTCTGCTCTTTTCAAACTTTAAAGGCAATGCTTTGTTGAAAAAAAGAATTAGGCTTTTTTGAGTCATTTTTTGCAGTTTTCAATTTTTTTTTACTGTGGTGAAAGAAATTATTAATCTACCACGAATCAGAAACACAGTGGACAAGTAAAGTCCATTGACATTTCTCTTAAAAATAATGATTTTCATGTCTTTTATATAGTGAATTCTCACTTTATTCATCAAACAGTGGTATGGAATGCTAAGAAATCTTTGCCACAATGCATCGTCAAGTGTCGGCCTCCATGTTATTTGGCCACTGTGAGTTTGATACGACATGCAAGGTTGCCAACATGCAATTTTGTATATGCCATGGGTTTAGGTCCGGAATATGAGTCCGGAACTGAACCTAAACCTCTGACCTTGAACTAAATCATGTGACTGTTCTTGTTCCCATGCAGCGCCTCTGTCTCTGTCCCAGAGCAGTATCGTACTGAAGCCGGGTCTCAGCGTGGTCGAAATCGAAAGCCTTCTCAGGGAGAGGGTCAGGTCAAAGTTCAACGACCTCAAACTGGTATGTAGAGTCTCAGTCAACATCTATATTTTTCTATTGAATATTTCATTAAATTTGATTGGATCTTTATAATTGTGCGCAGTGTTTGTGCGCACAATAAGCAAATACTGCTGTTATTTGCATGCAAAGTATAGTTAGGGGGACTTCCATAAATTTGTATAACAACAGTTATTATACAACTAGTATAAATTAAAATATACACAAATTTAAAGTCATACAAGACATTTATGCTCACCCAAAACGTTCCACTCTTTATTCATAGAGAAGCTCAAATCTGCCTGCAGGTATACTTATATATGAGGGCCTGAAAGGGGGGGTCCCGACAACGCTCTACCAGTGTTCGAAATACCCGTCTGCAGTCTGCAATTTGCAGATAGATTTTCAAGATTGCAGAAGAAAAAATCTTACAATCTGCAATTTTGCAGAAGGAAAAAATAGGCTCCGGATTCAATAGTTTTCAATTAGCAAAGCAGTGGCGCTGTGAATAGATCGAAAACCTGCGCCGCACGAACCTGCCGGCGTTTTTCAGCAGACTGTAATGGTCCCATATAAGGGAATTTGGGGTCAAAGTTGAACGATTTCGACAAGGCGACGAAAGGCGACGATAACCAAATATGGGCACTCGCCATTTTCCGATGTTAGATTTCGTCTCCCGGGAGACCCGACAACTGCCTCG